CGACACGGTGGCGGGCCCTTAATGCGCTAGGGCCGGGCGCCGACTCGTGCAGGAGGGTTCCCGGGGTGGTCCTGGCCGGGTAGCTGCCCGGGGTTGGGACAGACTTACCAACCACGCCTGAACCGGGCGGTTCCCGAGAGGCGGGGCCTTCACTGCGAATCTGGTCCAACCGCCCGCCGCGCCCGCAGCCCCGCGGGCCCGGGGAGGGGCTCGGCGCCCGCCGACTTGTCTTCCTTGGGAGGGGCTCCTTCCCGGTTGCGGGCTTCTTGCTCCGACCAATCAGGATTGCCACGCGGAGGGATGCCCCCGGCCAAGCACTTAGGATGTGCACAGCTCTGCGATCCAGTTAAAGGGCAGGCCCGGAGCCCCTCACGCGCCCTGCGGCCCTAGCTGCGTCCGGACCTGCCGGGCCTCATCTCTCTGCCCCTCTTCCGTGTCCGTCCCCTCGCGCTCCTATGGACCCCTCTCTGCACGCCAACCCTCTTCTCCACGCCCGTCTGCACCCCACTCCCCTACCGTTAGCATCTTGGTGTGGTTCTTTGCAATGTGATCCTGGACCTGTTTCCACATTTAGGTCTTAGTTTGTTTTACAAACTGGATTGCACATTTGATATTGCTCTAGTATTTCACTATTTTTTTTTAAATTGAACAACACGAAGTGGAGAGCTTCCCTGGTGGGGTTATGTGACTCTGTCTCACTATTTTAACAAGGTACCCAGTGTACTCTAAGATGGATGTTCCTTAACTTCATAATCAGATCCCTCCATGCACCAATGGGGTTCCTCCCCACCCCACCCAGCTGCCCTGGGGAGGATGGACCCTATGGTGATAGACAGGGGATGCTATGGATGCGAATGCTCAAGTGTATCTAGAATTTTGAAGGAGGCCCTACTTGGGCACTCTTTTTTGCCCTGTGGGTTCCTCCACCACCCTGTGGCCACAGGAGGGCCAGAGAAGGGCCTTCTGTTAGTGCTGCTGGAACAAATTATCACAAGTTCAGTTGTTTAAAAAAAGCAATTCTGGAGGTCAGAGTCAAAAATAGGTCTCAGTGGGCTAAAATCAAGGTGGCAGAGCTTTGTTTCTTCCTAGAGACTCTAGGGGAGGATCTTTTGGGGTTTTTGTTGTTGTTGTTGTTTGTTTGTTTTGTTTTGTTTTTTAACCTTTTCTAGCTCCTAGGTGCAGCTCATGACCCTGTCATTGGCAAAGCCAGCGGATGACCATTGAGTCTCTCACATTACATCACTCTGACCTGAACTCTTTCTGCCCTTCCATCTTTTAAGGACCCTTGTGGTTAATGGGACGAACCTGGATGATCCTGGGTGATCTCCTGATTTTAAGGTCAGCTCACTAGCAACCTTAATTCCCCTTCCAATGTGAGAACCATACCTTCTAGGAAAATGGCCTTGGTCAGGGCTCCCCATGCACGGGTCTAAAGGGGAAACTACATTCCTAGTCTCAGTGTATGACAGTGCTGATTTCCCTACCTGCTTACCAACTATGAATGTTTTTGGGCTTTGCAATTTTGACCCATGTGGGAAGTCGGCCCATTTTAAAGCTGGGGAAGCCAAGAGGATAGGTATAGCTCAGTGACAGAATACATGCTTAGCATGCATGAGCTCCTGGGTTCAGTTCCCAGTACTTCCATTAAAAATAAATAAATTAACCTAATTGCCTCTCCCCCTCCCCAAAAAAAAGAAAAGAAAAAATTTTTAAATAATAAAAAATATAGACAGGGAAGCTTACTTGCTTGAGACCCCATGCAGTTTCCTTTTCCAGACTTTTAGTCTGGTTATTTTTTTCTCAGATAGCGTGGTTCATATAGGATGACATTTTCCCAGATGGCTTTGGAATCACTGGCTTACTTTGACGTCTTTCATCCATCCACTGGCAGCCATGAGCAAACAAACGCACCATGGCACCCTCAGGTGTGGTGATCAGAGACTTAGCTGGCAGAAGCAGAAGACCAAGCCATTATCTTTT